TTGTCTGAAGGCACCTGGAGAACAGGAGCGAGATTTGAACCAGGGACCTCCTTCCTGTAGCCACGAGGCCGATGAAGTTCCTTTGGGTTAGGGCCCAACAGAGCATGGCTAAGCCCTGACTCTCAGGCTCTTGGACAAAGTTACTCTCAACAACACTCTCTGACAGTGATCTGTTTATTGAGAAATAAAGATGTTCCGAGCTAAGGCCGGTACTGTGTCAGAAGTGAGGCTCTGGCACCAAAATCCATTGTTATCGGCGGTTCGAATAAGGCCCCCCCTTAGGTTCCGTCCAGTCACACACTGCAATCACCAGTCTGGTGTAGTGGTTAAGTGCGCGGACTCTAATCTGGGAGAACTGGGTTTGATTCCCCACTCCTCCTCCACTTGTAGCTACTGGATGACCTTGGGCAAGCCACAGTTCTGTCAGAGCTGTTCTTGAAAAAGGGCCGTTTCTGTCAGAGCTCTCTCAGCCCCACCTACCTCACAGGGTGTCTGTTGTGGGGAGGGGAAGGAGACTGTAAGCCACTCTGAGACTCCTCTGGGTAGTGAAGGGCAGGGTAGAAACCCAAACTCCTACTCCTACTCCTCCCCCCCCGCCTAGCTTTCGTGTGCTTTATGGCCCCACCTGTAAACCCACCGTTACAGCAAAGCAAGCACAGACACTATCCAAGGTCATCCCTGAGAAGGGAGGCTTCTTTAGAAGAGGTACATCGCCACAACAACAGAGCCATTCTCACACTCGCACACACACACACACCCCTCAGGAATTTTCCCCCCTTTACAGGCCTCAAAACCCCGTAATACATGGCAAATAAGAGTCCTAGTTTGACACTGACCTGGATAGGCCAGGTTAGCCCAACCCCGTCAGATCTGGGAAGCTAAGCAGGATCGGCCCTGGTTAGTATTGGAAGGGCGACCTCCAAGGAATACCAGGGCCGTGACGCAGTGGCAGGCAATGGCGAACCACCTCTGAACCGTCTCTTGCCTTAAAAACAAGTCTAGCTTGCCACCTAGTGGTCCATAATGCTAAAAGAGCGAGAACTTCTGGCTGCCAGACAATCTTAGAGTCTCCTAGCTTTCCTACACACACGGCCCATATGACAACCAGTGTTCCCTCTAAGCTGAGTTAGTGTGATCTAGCTCACAGTTTTTTAGCCTCTGGCTCACACATTTTTGTCTTAGCTCGGGAAGGAGCGCTCCAGAGCAAACTAATTTATGTAGTAGCCAGATCACTTGCTCACAGCTTTAATGTGGTCCATAATGCTAAAAGAGCTAGAACTTCTGGCTGCCAGACAATCTTAGAGTCTCCTGGCTTTCCTACACACACGGCCATATGATAATTATTAGTTATTAGAGCATGGCTAGCTGTTGCAGTCTTCAAAGGGTTGCCAGTTCTGGGTTGGGAAATTCCCGGAGATTTGGGGTGGGGGGGTGCATCCTGGGGGATGATGGAATTTGGGGAGAGTAGGGAGCTCCACGAGGCTATTGAGACCCCCTCCCCACGGCTGCCGTTTACCTGCAGAGGAGCTGATCACTGTAGCATGCAGATCAATTGTAATTCTGGCAGAATCTCCAGGCCACACCTTGAGGTTGGCAAGCCAGCCTTTCCCTCTTCCTTCCCACGGCTTGGAGCAGCGCAGCGGCTTGCCGGTCGCTAGAAGGGAGCGTAAATTGACGGCTTCATGTTGCAAGGGTGACATCTGGTGGACACGTGCGGGTAGTACCTCCTAGGAGGAATTGATAAAATAATAGTTTTTTTTCCCCCTGGAGACCCCTGATAAGATCTACAGACGGGGTTACTCACTTTTAAAAAATCATTCTTATGTCTTGTAAGCACTGCTGAAGGCCCCCACTGGGGGCAGAAAGTCAGCAGCTTCTTTTTTAGAGTAAATACACGTGCAATGCAGTGTTTAAAGTTCCAGGAATGGAGGAAGCCGTGTTCCCTGTTGCGGCCAAATAAAACAGGGGTTCAGCCGCAGGAGTGCCAGTCTCCAGGTGGGACCAAACCAGTGTTCCCTCTAAGCTCTGTCCCAATCCAAAAGTACGCCGATACGTACTGGGAAAAGTCCCAGAGGAAAATAACTGATCACCATTCAAGTGAGCAATAGCCTTCGGACAATTTGGGTACCATTTTCAAAAATTCACATTCCATCAGCCATTCAGTAGAAAAAGCAATGGAACTGCCGATGGGGAGTCGACTTTGGAACACCCGTTTCACTTCTAGTTTCTCAAGGTTGGGACTCCAATATGCAACTACTCAAATGCAAAGAAATCTGAATGAGTCATGCACAAAATTGGCTTTTATAAAGTCACAGACTCATATTCTTGTCCCAATCCAAAGGTACGCCGATACGTACTGGGAAATGTCCCAGAGGAAAATAACTGATCACCATTTAAGTGAGCAATATCCTTCAGACAATTTGGGTACCATTTTCAAAAATTCACATTCCATCAGCCATTCGGTAGAAAAAGCAATGGAACCGCCGATGGGGAGTCGACTTTGGAACACCCGTTTCACTTCTAGTTTCTCAAGGTTGGGACTCCAATATGCAACTACTCAAATGCAAAGGCAAAACTCCAAGAAGTGCTCTCACCAGTCGGCATTCACCTTCAAGTTTTGTCTCCTGCTTTCAACATTGATCTCCAGCTGACAGACATCAGCCCCCCTGGGGAAAATGGCAGCTTTGAAGGGGGGACTCAGTGCTGCCTGTTGACACCTTTCCTAGTGCCCACTGAGTAGGGTTGCCAGGTCTGGGTTGGGAAACACCTGGGGACTTTGGGGGTGGAGCCAGGAGAGGGTGGAGTTCGAGGAGGGGAGGGGCCTCAGCTGCTTTTAGAAAGGGGGTGGGACAAGGCGGGGCTTATGCCCAGCAAGACTTCCAATTGGCCACTGGAAAGTTTTTTTTTTTAAATGTGGCTTTGTCATCTTCACTTTGTGAATGAAGGTGAGCCGCGGCAGCCATTTTGTTGCTAGCTCCTCCTCTTGAGGAAGCCATTTGGTGGCAGCCATTTCGTGGCTGTGCCGACCATGCTGTGTCGGCGTTCCAAGGGTGCCCACAGGGTCAGAAAGCTCGGGGAGCCTTCCCATGAGGAAACACAGATAACTGCACCATGCTGATTCTCTCTCTCTCTCTCTCTCTCTCGCAGGGCTGGCAACCACTGGTGGTGGGTGCCGATCGTTGGTCCCATGGTTGGGGCCGGTTTTGGGGCCGCTATCTACATGCTGTTTATCGAACTGCACCATGTGCAGCCGCCGCCGCCACAGAGCAACGCCGCTCACGACAAATACGAACTCACCAGCATGTAGGGAGGGGGGGCAGGTCCCCTCGGCTCTCCCCCTCGCCTGCTCCAGAACTGCGTCCCGCCCCAACGCCCATTCCAGTTTCACGAAGAGGATTCCTGAAATTAACTCTGGACACGTGTTCCCTCTAAGCTGACGTTATGTGAGCTAGCTCACAGTTCTTTAGCCTCCGGCTCACCCATTTTTGTCTCCGCTTAGGGAGGAGGGGGCTCCAGAGCCAACTAATTTATGCAGCAGCCAAATCGCTCTCTCACAACTGTAATGCCAGGAGCTCACAAAGGAGAATATTTGCTCACAAGACTCCACCGCTTAGAGGGAGCATTGCTTACAATGCCAAGCAGTGTTCCCTCTAAGCTGAGTGAGTGTGAGCCAGCTCACAGTTTTCTAGCCTCCAGCTCACCCACTGTTGTCTTAGCTCAGGAAGGACGGCTCCAGAGCTAACTAACTGATACAGCAGCCAAATTGCTCACACAGCACTTTAACGCCAGGAGCTCACAAAGTAGGATTTTTGCTCACAAGACTGCACAGCTTAGAGGGAGCACTGATTTGTGCCCATTTCCCAGGTTATGTCACTGATGTGCGCACATTGATAAAGCACCACAGGCTTGATTTCTGTGATTGCACCATACCTCTTTTTGTGCCGCGTTTTGCAGATCCGTGCTTGCCCCTCGGTGAAACACCGCACAAAAGGATGCCCCGACAGACAGGCACCTGCTGAGACTGCTTTTCTGTGGTGTGTTTTTTCAATGTGCAGAATGCTACTGGGGAGGTGGAACGGACGTGAAGGGACAGCCAACTGCGGATGCACATAGCTCTGAACAAATTTTGGAAATAAACAGGGTTTCTAATTGGGTCTTCTCTTCTTTGGAAACGAGACCAGGTCATGCACAGCTTCAATATCCAGAAGAAATTTGCTCAAGGAACGTTTCAGAAGCACGTCTGCCCACACGGAGGAACCTTTGGGGAGGCTGGCCTCAGTTTCCTCTATAAAAACGGACCCCAATGCGCCCAGAGCAGCCTCCAACAGGGGCAACTCCCATCCCCCGCATGCGAATGGTCCCCAATGAGCCACGGGCAGAGCATTATTGCCGCCATTATGTTTAAATGCATCTGCCACAAAGGTGATAGTTGAGTGGGTTGGAGGTGCGCCCTCGAATCAGAAAACTGGAATTGAAGCTGGGTGGTGTGTCTGCCTTTTAGCCTGGGCACCAACAGGACAGCTGCTGAGTCACCACAAATACCCCCTGGGCTCCCCCACCAGTGGGAACATCAGCACTGTGAGCCATGATAGCGAAATGGAACCTCCACGGTCAGAGGCAGTGCATCTCTGAATAACTACATGGCAGAGAAAAAGCAATGCCTCCACGTGCGAGCTGCCCCCGTGGGCTGCTGACTGCCCACTGCAGGACATGGCGAGGGGCCGTTTTCGCCCTCCACAAAATGATTCTCCTGTCACTTGCAAAAGATCCTCAGACCCTCTACAGATTGTGAGAGGGAGAGCAGGGAGGGTCGCACCCAGGGTTCCCTCTAAGCTGAGTGAGTGTGAGTTAGCTCACAGTTCTTTAGCCTCCGGCTCACACATTCTTGTCTTCGCTCAGGAAGGATGGCTCCGGAGCAAACTAATGGATGCAGCAGCCGAATCGCTCGTTCACAACTTAAATGCCAGGAGCTCACAAAGAAGGATTTCTGCTCACAAGACCCCACAGCTTAGAGGGAGCATTGCTTGCATCAGTGCTTAGGTCTTGTGGCCAGTTTGGCCAGGGATCCTGGAGGGTTTCTGTCCTCTTCTGGGGGTAAAGCAGGGGCCACTGTGTGTGTGTGTGGGGGGTAGTTGTGAATTTCCTGCACCCGGGAGTGGACTAGATAACTCTGGAGGCCCCTTCCAACTCTATGATTCTCTCTTTCTCCTTTAAAAGAACAAAAACAAAACCCGGCCGCTCTAGATTCTTTGTGCATGCTTGAACCCTGCTGCCTTCTAGACAGGCGTCAGCACCAGGCAAATGTCTCGTGCCCCTGGTTCCCACCCACGCAGGGGGCTAGCAGCCCACCAGGACACCTGGGGGCTCAAAGCAGGCAAAGCTACACACAGGGAAGCCCGCCCACCCCCAGAACATCCCTGCACCACAGGCCACGGGCTCTCCTCCACTCAGCACCGAGCGGCTCTCTTCCGGCTGTGCTCCTGCAGAGTGCAGGGGGCTGGACTAGATGACCTGCAAAGTCCCTTCCGACTCTAACGTTCTATCGGTTCCTCTGGCTCCCCCCCCCTCCCCCAGTGACCCAGGGCCTCTTTGTTGACAGCTCCCAGGGTGAGGCAGGGCAGCGTTGCCAGGGCGAGGCAGGGTGGCTGGCTGGCTGACACAAACACCCGGGCACAACTCGGGGGAGACAGGCCGATCCATCCAGGCATCCCTCACGGCTTCCCTGTCCCGAGAGGCTGCCCTGGTGAGTGACACCCCCCCCCGCCCCCGTGCCTGCTCTTTGCGGCCCCCTCCTGCAGCTTTCAAGCACACGTGGCGGGAACAGGCCTCCTCCCCCTGTGAAACGTGGCCGCACTCCCAAAGGGGCTGTTTGGGGCTTCGGCACTGCTGCCGGGCAGGGGGCAGGAGGTTGTGTTGCCATCTCCAGCTTGGGGAATTCCTGGAGACTTGGGGGTGGAACCTGATGAGAAGAAGAGTTTGGATTCTTATACCCCATGGCCCTTCACTACCTAAAGGAGTCTCAGAGCGGCTTACAAACCCCTTTCTCTTCCCCTCCCCACAACAGATACCCTGTGCAGTAGGTGGGGCTGAGAGCTCTTGACAGAAACGGCTCTTTTTTCAAGAACAGCTCTTATCAGAACTACGGCTTGCCCAAGGTCATCCAGCAGGTGCAAGTGGAGGAGTGGGGTCTCGAACCCAGTTCTCCCAGATTAGAGTCCGTGCACTCAACCACTACCCCAGACTGGCTCTGGGAAGGACCCCTCGAACCCACCCTCCAAAGCAGCCGTTTTCTCCACGGGAACTGGTCTCTTCTGTCTGGAAATCAGTAGTAGCTCCCGGAGATCTCCGGACCCCGCCTGGAGGCTGGCCACCCTAGCAGAGGAGAGCTGGTGAGGGGCGAGGCGCCCGGCCAGGTGACCCTGGTGCGAATCTTGCTCTGCCCCGAACACACCCCAGGGGAGCCAAGATGCTAGCAGAGTCCCGGGAGGAGAACTCCACTTTCCTTTGGCCGCCTCGTAGGTCTTTCCCAGGTAGCGTCTCCCTGCCTTGACTGGCATCCCTGCCTCACACACAGATCAGGGCCCCCCTGAGGGCAAGGCTGTCCTCGTCCTCCCCCCCCTCTACACAACATGCTCCAGATCAGAAGGGACGATGTTGCCACGGCTGCTTCCCCCAGTGGTCCAGGAAGGCGGTCTGTACCGCTTGTCAGGTTCCCCCGCCCTCCACAACGCCAGAGCTCAGGGACCGAGACGCCTCATTTTGGAAGACATGGGGGGGCGGCAGGGTGGAATATGAACAACAAGAAGAGAAGAGATTGGACTTATACCCCATGGCCCTTCACTACCCGAAGGAGTCTCAGAGCGGCTCCAAAACCCCTTTCCCTTCCCCTCCCCACAACAGACACCCTGCGAGGTGGGTGGGGCTGAGAGAGCTCTTGACAGAAAGGGCTCTTTTTCAAGGACAGCTCTGAGAGAACTTGTGACTGATCCCAGGTCATCCAGCCAGGTGCAAGTGGAGGAGTGGGGAATCAAACCCGGTCCTCCCAGATTAGAGTCTGCGCACTTGACCACGACACCAAACAAACACGAAATGGAACACTGAACACCCCACCCCCCAACATGACAACCATCAGTTCCCTTCACTGGCAACTGCAGCAAGTCCAATTTGTATGGATGATACATTCTAATTTGCCAAGGGGAAGAAGAAGAAGAAGAAGAAGAAGAAGAAGAAGAAGAAGAAGCAGGAGAAGAAGATGATGCTGAATTTATACTCTGCCCTTGCAGCGGCTGGATGACCTTGGGCAAGCCATAGTTCTCTCAGAGCTGTTCTCTCAAGAGCAGTTCTCGAGAGAGCTCTCTCAGCCCCACCTACCTCACAGGATGTCTGCTGTGGGGAGAGGAAGGGAAAGGAGTTTGTAAGCTGCTCTGAGACTCCAAGTAAAGGGCAGGAGATAAATCCAGTCTCTCTTCTTCTTCTTCATGGCGCCAATGACACAGCCCTGGCCTTCCTTTCACAGGCCCCACGCTGCAGTCCTTTCTGGAAAGATGGCGTCTGCACCAGGGCCTCCGTCAGACCGAGGACAATCTGGGGACCAGACGGGGTCCCCTCAGACCAAAATCCAGAGGCTGCTGAAAGATGGAATAGCCCTCTACCATGACAACGAAGACCTCCGAGCACTGGAGACGTTCAAGAAGGCTTTCCTGCTCTCCCGCCACCTCCCGGAGCCGGGCACCCAGGCCAGGTGCCTCTTCAACCTAGGGGCGGCTTACATTGCCACCAGCAAGCCCAAGAAAGGCCTCAAATGCACCTGGAAGGCCAAGAAAATGGGCGCCACAGAGGACAATGGCGACTTCTCCTTCAACGTCGCGGCGGCCTACGATGCCATGAGAGAGTACGCAAAAGCCGCCGAGTTCTACAGGAAGGCTGTGAGGGAATACGAGGACAGGAAGACCCCGAAGGCCGCAGACGCCCTGGTGAAGCTCGCTTACTGTCTGGCCAGCACAGGCGACGCTGCCTCCGCCGCTCAGTTCTTCCGCCTCGCCGGCCGGGCCTACCAAAATGCACAGCAACCAGAAGATGCAGCCATGGCCCTGCGGGAGGCAGCCAATTACTTCCTGAGAAGCCAAGATTACCGCCCGGAAGATGTGCTGGAGGTCTTGCAAGGGTGTAGCCAGCTCTGTGCTCAAATAACCAACCTGGAATTGCTCGGTAGGTCTCGGTTTAAGCACGTGGGAACATAAGAGAAGCCATGTTGGATCAGACCAACGGCCCATCCAGTCCTACACTCTGTGTCACACAGTGGCCAAAACCCAGGTGCCACCAGGAGGTCCAGCAGTGGGGTCAGAACTCCAGAAGCCCTCCCACTGTTGCCCCCCCAAGCACCAAGAATACAGAGCAGCACCACCCCAGACATAAGAACATAAGAGAAGCCATGTTGGATCAGGCCAATGGCCCATCCGGTCCAACACTCTGTGTCACACAGG